CACACACACACACACACACACACACACACACACACACACACACACACACAGTGGCAGGCGGGGTTTCCCCTCAGTGAACCAGCACAGAGACACTCTGCACTCTTGGTGATCTGCACACGGACACATCCCCACAGTTCCAGCCAGCCTTTTACGCACCGGCCCAACTTTTTCACTTCTATGGATGATGCGCTCCAAAGCTGCAGGCGAGCGGGGCCGCGCGCGTTCAGTAAGTTTTTAAACCCAGCCAGTTGTGTCCGTCCTCAGGTGGACTCCTGGGGAGGAGGAGGAGAGGTGGGGTCAGGATGAGGGTCTGTAACAGGGGGGTGATGATGCTCCTCACCACGGCGGGGGCCTTCTGCGCCTTCAGCCTCATGACCATTGCGGTGGGCACCGACTACTGGCTGTACTCCCGCGGGGTGTGCCGCTCCAAGAACCTGAACGACAACGAGACGGTCCACAAGAACGAGGAGGTCCTGACCCACTCCGGCCTATGGAGGACCTGCTGCACCGAGGGTAAGGACCCTCAAAATTATATTTTTGTCCAGTTGATGATTCATTTTTAACAGTAAATATGCTCAGAAATGTCTCACTCTGTTCATGAAGTAAAAGTTTTAAACTCCTCAAAAGCTCTAAAAAAATCTAACTTGAAATTAGATTCTTCTCAAATCTTCTGAGTATGTGTTTGGGACGACTCTCAGCTGGACCAAATTCTGTCTCAGTAATTGTAAAATTACCTGAGTTGATGACATGTCTCTGTTGGCTCAGGTCAGTTAGCTGTGGCAGTCATCCTGAATCGGATTGACTCCAAAAGTTAATCAGTTTTAAGGTCAATTATTAAATTGATGCCAAAACTGAATCAGTTGTACATCCAGTGGTTTCTTTTATAAAAGTGTCTTTAAATCTGTAGTGGTTCATGAGATATTTTGCTAATAGACAGACAAAATTGATTCCAAGTTTTAAAAGTTGATGATCTTCTGTGCAGCATTGTGTGTGCTTCCTGCCGTGTCCTGTTCTCCCCTGGTTCTCCTCCAGGTGTGTGGCCAACACTGCCTGTTTATGTTTTGCTCCTCTAAATCCTTAGCATTTATTTCAGGCCCCTTGTGTTTTGTCTGCACTACCAAGTCCAAACTTTACAAATCAGGACATTATTGTTGTGTTTTTAAAGCAATTATTTGCTAAAAATATTGCTTTGATTGCTCTTAATTTTAATTTGTCTGCTGCTGTGACAAACCAACTCCATTAGTGGATCAATGAGGTATCATATTCTTAACATGCTGTATATGGGTTCTCTTTAGTTTTGGGTGTGAGTGGATCCACTAAATGTTAGRATAAAAATAGAGCTGGAGCAGCAGAATAAAAGCACACCAGTCTGTCAAGAATTAAGATTAAAACTTAGCTTCTGCAGCTAAGCAGCTTTATTAAGAGTACCGATACATAATTTTATTAGCTCCTCCAGATTTGGGAAAAACAATCTCAAAAACACAGTTCAGCTCAGTTGGTATTAATGTGCAGAATGTTGGAAGGTGTGGATGAAATTTTAAAGTGACTAAAAGTTTCTCCATTGGCAACTGGGAAAACCCAGCCCTGTTTGAGTCTCTACACTCTGAAAAATGCTTTGTTGACTCAACTTTTAAAAAATGTTGCAATAATTTCCTCTCAGCTTTATAAGTCACCAGTATTGCCTATTATTAAGTACATGGTAAATGAACTTTTACAGCTTTATCAAGTCCAAAGACCTCAGTGCTTTACACTACATTCACCCATTCATACGCTGATGGTGTCTTGCTCAAGAACACGAGATGAAGGGAGTGGAGGTTTGAACAGGACAACTCCTCTACATAATTTAATTTGACCTACCAAAATATCATTAGGTTGAAGAAATTAAATATTTTTACTTAAGATTTTTGATAACATTAAGTTGACAAATTACATTAGGTGAGTTACTCTAACTTACTTTTGTATATCCTACTCACAAATATTCATGCAATTTATTTTTAAAGTTACTAAAGCAACTTTTCATGTTGTACAAACTTAATGAGCTACAGCTGGCAGCAACTTTAACATTTCTTTWGATCTGTCACTACAATAAACGTTAGTATCTTTTAATACTTGTCCCTACAAGCAATACGTGAAATGAATAGCAGGTTATTATTATTATTAAAGAAGTAAGATTTAAAATACCAGTGACTTTTATTTTAAAAAATGATATATTGGATTTTATGGAGTAGTTGCATAAATAACCTTCAAACTTTCAGTGTTTAGAGATAAACAAATTTAAATTGAAACATCAGTGTGCAGCATGTCAATGTCCCAGCTGCTAAATGTGGAAATCGTTTGAACAATTTTATTTTGTTTTCATAATCAGGAGAAGAAAATGAAAAAAACACACAAAAAAAAAAACAAATACAAAAATATAGGGGTGCAACGATACAGGAAATTCACGGTTTGGTTCGGTTCGATACTTTAGTCTCACGGTTTGATATTTTTTCGATACAAAAAAGAGAAATTTCCCTTTTAACTTGTAATTTATTTATATTAATTATGAACATTTGAGTAACCTCAAAAGTACAATTTTTAATTAAATGTTGCTGAAACAGCAAGTTTCTCAGTGGATCTGCGCTCAAAAATGCAGCCTAGGTGGAGTAGTCGAACACAGATCCACTGATCCTTYAACACAGAGCMTCTTCAGAAGACAAGTTGATAATGTAAATTTTTTAAATCTGTATTGTTCGATACGGTTCGATACGGGTACATGTATTGTTGCACCCCTAATAAATAAATGATCCGCATCTTTCTGTTCTTTTCTTTGTAGCCTTTTATTTTTTGTTTGTTCTCTTTTTGGTTGAGTTTTGTTCTCTTTGGGTATGTTTCATCCTGCTCCTTGTGTTTTCATTTGTTTCATCTTTTATGCCATCAGTTAGCTACTTCTCCTCACTGCCAATTTACACCTGCTTTCTGTTTCACCCACCACAGCTGCAGCTCATTCTCTCATCAGCCCCAGTCTTAATCACCAGTTGAGCATTGTGCATTGTTCACTTCTTATCCAGCTCTCCTTCGTGTAAGTTTTGCTGTCATGCCAGACTCTTTTTTTTTTTAGGTTTTAGCTATAAATTCTGGATCTGTGTCAAACCGTGACATGAACAAACATATTTTCTTGTTTTCTGTCTGTAGATAATAAATCATTTTAATGTTTGTCAAAATCAAACCATATGTCACTTTTAAGAGACGTAAATCTTTTTCTATAAGCTCTTTGTCAAAACGTGGTTCAGTCACACACGGCTGCTGAAAACAAAAAAAAAGTGGTTTAAACTTTTGCTGTGAGGTCTGTTTTAAAAAGCTTGTTGCTTTAATAATTTGCAATCTTCACCTTAAAAGCAAAAAGGAGCATTTTCTAACAATTAAATCAGGAATAAAATCATAAAATATTTGAATCTGGAACGTGGCTGAGGAAAAGGTGTCACAAAAACAATAAAACACAATGGTTTCCACCACTGAATTAAACATGGGGTTTCAGAAATAYGTTCTGACTGAACTGTCCGCAGCGAATGCACAAACGCAGGCCGTGACGTGTTCTTTGATCTGTCTGAATGAAAACCATCCACTGAATCAAAGCTCATCCATCAGTGAGTCCAGCTGTGCCTTTCAACATTTTACAAACAGGAATATATTGACGTGTTTGTCCCTACATGCTGCTCRTTGACCAGTATTGATGTGATGACTCAGTCGTCATGGTTACCAAAACATTAACTCATTCATTCGGTGGCTGCAGCTCAACCAAGAAGAGCAAGGGAAATGTGTTCTTATTTGACTCTTTGTTAGCAAAATATCTCACCAACCACAGGACGGATCAGTGGTCAACCACATAATCTTTGTTTTTCATTGTTTACACTGTTTTATACATGTTCTATTCTCTGCTGTGTTTACCTGAGAAATACTTCAGTAGCATTAACAGCATTAAAATATATAATCCTGGAATTAATATCAGGACGCAGACAGAGTCTTTCTTTTTCCATTTCTGCAGGAATATTCCGAGGGGTTTGCAAACACATCGATCATTTCCCAGATGATGCAGACTATGAGCAGGATGCTGCTGAGTATTTACTGCGTGCGTAACAAATGTGTTCATCCTATGATGGAGTGTTAGGACCACACAACGAGATTTTGTAATTATTATTATTACGAGAATAAAGTCATAATATTACGAGAAAAAAAGTCATAATCTTACACGATGTGTCCATTTTCCGATCATCTCCTCCTTATTTTCCCCACACCTGCTGCACAGCCATGTGTCTGTGTTTATAAAGTAGACTGTGATGACTCGGGTCACTATTAGTTTAATAYGCTTTCATCCAAATTAGCTACGTGACGACTAAATTTGTCAATGCATCCATTAATTACAATACAGCTTCAGTTTATCATGCAGTTGTTTGCACAATTTCCAAGTCCTTCTACTGATAATTTAATGCTAATGTGCTAAAATATTAACTTTTTTTTTATTTTAAGCAATACTACAGAACAACTGGACAAGTTGCTCAACATTCCTCGTTTTAATGCAATGGTAACGGCATGCTTTTTCATGTAGTATTATGACTTTAATTTTAGAATATTATTACTTTAATATTACGAGTGTATTCTCATAAAATTCTGACTTTAATCTCGCAATGTTACGACTTTATTCTCATAATATTTATGACTTTAATCTCATAATATTATGACTTTATTTTCATTCGATTTTAATCTCGTAATATTATGATTTTACTCTCATAATATTATGACTACTCTCATAATATTATGACTTTACTCTCATAATATTATGACTTTATTTTCATTGGATTTTAATTTTGTAATAAGACTTTATTCTCATAATATTATGATTTTAATCTTGTAATATCATGACTTTATTCTCATAATATTATGACTTTAATTTTGTAATATCATGACTTTATTCTCATAATATTATGACTTTAATTTTGTAATATTATGACTTTATTCTCGTAATTAAAAAAAATCTTGTATGGCCCTAATACTCCGTCGTATCATCCAAAAGCGAAACCTGGAAGTTATTTGTGACAGAGATCTTGCAAATAGGAACATTTTAAATTCTCCCTTGTTCAGGAGCAGTTCGAGCCTCCAGCCTGTTCCCAATCCTCAGTGTGGGATTGCTGTTCCTCGGAGGACTGTGTGTGGCTGCCAGTGAGTTCTACAAGTCCCGCCACAATGTCATCCTCAGCGCTGGTATTCTTTTTGTTTCTGCAGGTTAGACCCAACAGTGCACAGATTTTAACAGCAAACATTTTATTTTTTACCCTTTTGTCCAACGAATTATCATTTTTGTTGTACGACCACATTAGTAGCTGAAGCTCATTTCTTAGCAGTTTTGTTGTTGTGTGTCCATTTCTTAACCCTAATGTTTTCACAGAACCACCACTTCAAWACATTCACACTTCAAAACATCTGAACTGTCGCTTTAACCCTTTATTTCTTTACCCCACCCTGCTCAGGTCTCAGCAACATTATCGGCATCATCGTGTACATATCAGCCAACTCAGGTGACCCCAGCCAGAGCGACAACAAGAAGAGCTACTCCTACGGCTGGTCCTTTTATTTCGGAGCCCTGTCCTTCGTGCTGGCTGAGATGGTGGGTGTCTTGGCAGTGCACGTGTTCATAGAAAAACACAGGCAGCTGCGCACCAAAGGCCGGCCTTCGCTCATCAAGCCTCCCATCTCCAGAAACTCGTCCTATTACCGCAACCGTTACTACCAGAACCGCAGCAGCCGCTACAGCTACAGGAGCAATCACAGCACGGCGGACTCAGAAGCGCACACCTATCCAGGTCCTTTGGGGTGTGACCAGGAGCTCTCCGTTCAGTCTAAAATGGCTGACATGACAGGTTTACCCCCGACAGCCACCGTGRGCTCCGATTTCATGCTGTACACCCTAACGTCGCCTCTCAAAGACAGTGATATTATGGCTGTGAATGATCACGCRACTGTAGCGGCTCACAACAATGTAGAGATGCTGCCAGGAAACTGTGCATCCAGCCGAAGGACCACTCCAGTCTGAGAGGAGAGGGAACCCCAGAGGAAGGGGTGTAACACTAAATAAATCAGATCTTAATAATAAGGGTTTTATGGAAAGGTCATGAACAATTATTATCTAACCAGTGGAAGATAGCTTCATGAACAGCCTCAGTTTGGAAACATGGAGCTTAATTATGACCCGAYTGATAAGCTAAAGGCTGCAGTCCACACAGGGTCAAAAAAGGAAGTAAATTACTTTTGTTTTAAAACAACTTCAGTCTTAAAGATTTCTTAATTGTTAGATGCTATTTTATAAAGCATTACATCATTGTCGGCAACCGCTTTGGGCATGAAACTGTATCATGACTCTCAAAAATTGTCATTTTCAGAAAAAAAATCCTTATTACTCACAAAAGGGGGATGGAGGGTGGTTGTGCCTGCAGTGTAGGGGAGCAGGGAAAGGAGGATGAGGAGAGCAGTGGAGCAGGTTGGGAGGTGGTTATTTGGTTTTATTTATTTATTTTATGCCCTACAGGCTCTGAGATGTAAAACAAACGTGAAGCTAAGTTTTTGAAAAAATCCACCCACTCCGGATGTTATCATCCATTAAATGGATGTTATTGGCTGTTATCAGCCCCATAGAATGGCTTCAGACTGTCCCAACTGTGCCGCCTAGTGGGTTCTCCATCCTATAGAATGGCTTCAGACTGTCAGCTGGTTAGTATGAGGCGTAAAACCACTAAGGGTTTTTATGCAGTCTGGTTAATATGAGGCATAAAACCACTAAGGTTTTTAATGTAATCTGGTTAATATGAGGCATAAAACCACTAAGGTTTTTATGTAATCTGGTTAATATGAGGCATAAAGCCACTAAGGTTAATTTTAGAGAAAATGACATGGGCTACGATAAAGTAGACCGGACTCCGGCGGTAGCAGATTGTTGCCCTCCAATATATATGGCACTGGTTACCCACTAGGGGGCACTGTCGGGACAGTCTGAAGCCATTATATGGGACTGATWACCGCTAATAACGTCCATTTAATGGACTGATGATACGAACCGGCTGAGAAGATCCATGAGATTTCTCTATCTGTATGTATAAAACGGGGGGAAATCTGTGTAATTTACAGACAATCTGCACAACTTGACATGTGAGTGAGTCAGTTTCCCGCTACAAAGTTTTCCTGGCAAGTGTGAGTTGTTTCAAGGTGACATCATTTCACTTTGGTCTTTGTTTTGCTGAATTTAGTCATTAGCTGAGGATTACACTTAAAATGCACCTCTACTTATCCAAATTAAGCCAATCAAAGAGCTATCTACAACAGGTAAAATAGTCATTGTTCATTACCTTATCTCACTTCAGAAGAATTAACGCTTTATTGTGATCCAGAATGCTGCTGTGAATGTGTTATTTATTATTAACTAAAAGAGCTCCAACAAATTTCATTGTGTGTGGCTTTTTTTGAGCTAAGCAGTGTACTAAATACACCTGACAGTGACATAATCATGTCCCGCCCTCTTTTTTTTGTCCTACATGCTGAAAATCAAAACCCCATTAAATGCATTAGGGTCTACCCTATCTGTTTCTCTAAATGTGTCTAAATGTGTGTCTGAGCATATGTAACAAAGGTGAACAAATTAAATGAATGAAAGGCTTTACAGGCCCCTTGCATTAAAAAGAAATCAAGGCCTTCTCGTGTGTGAACGTGCATGAATGAGCTGTGTTACGGATAACAGCAGAACAGCACAAACAGCATTAGGGACATACTGTACATCATGGCAGCACAAGCATTCGGAGAAACAACCAAAACAGCTGTGATGAAAATGACAACACATGAAATCAGTGACAGCACCACCATGTTTACTGTGCTTATCTATTAATCTGTTCGTGATATTTCTGAAATGAATGTAAAAAATTCAAAAACTACTAATTTCTTTGTACGATGTAACGGTCTCCTTAGAAGTAAACGTCACACTTTCCATAAATTATTTAATAGTTTTTTTCAGCTTTCTAAGAGTCTTTGAATGTTTCTCATGTTTTGTCTGCTGTTTGACTCTTTTTTTCCCTAGTTTTCCTCATGACAGCACGTGCAACATTTGATGAAAAACAGGGAAGGTGGAGATTGAAGTAGAGGACAAAACAAGAAAAAATAAAAGCATTTTAAAAAACTGATCAGATACTGAACTGAAAATGAAAAGAAAAACTGCCAAAGTTAAAAAAAGTGTGAAAAATCTTCAGAAAGACCAAATATATAAACATTTAAATATTTCCCAAAACATTTTAAATGTCACAAAGACAATTAGGTTTTTTGGAAGCAAAAGTACAAAATCAGGCATGACTTCTTTGTTTTTAGCAGGAATTGTAATAATAATAATAATAATAATAATAACAACGCATTTTATTTATAGGCACCTTTCAAAACTCCCACAGTCACCTTGGATCAATGTTTAAATTAAAATAGAACTGTGAGCACACTAAAAACCGTTTGATATGAATAAAATAGCGCAAAGAAATAAGCAACAATAATAAATAATAACCTGTCATATTATGATTTGATATTTTTGGTATGACTGCTAGATTTAAACACACACTTTCCACGTCCTTCAAATAAATTTTTCACCTCAAAGAAATAAATAATAATAATTAAAAAAAAAAAAAAAGGAAAACAATAATCCCACTGCAAGTAAGTGAAATCCTATCCAGTCACCGGATACTCTTATTTTTATAAACCCTTACCATTTCCGGTGAAATCCTAACCAGTCACCGGATATTCTTATTTTTTATAAACCCTTACCATTTCCGGTTCCGCCCAGCGCCATTTTGATGAAACAGCGAGAAGAGGAGAAATATCTACTACCGAAATGGATTTTATAGAATCAAACTAAAACATCAGCTGGACAACTTGCGGATTTTGTTCTGGACATTTAATCGTGAAAGAAGATTTTTTTCTCCCCTGACTGCGTATATGGTTGGATTTTTGTCGGTTTTTCGTCAGTGGGTCGGGTTATTAATGTTAGCTTAGCTAACAGTTAGCTTTTGTTATGTGTTGCAAAATGTGGTGAGGCTAATGTAGCATGCCATGTTAGCTGTTTACACGAAGTTATAGTTTTAGTAAAATTACAGAAGTTTAACAGCAGTAATATAAACATTGTGAAGTCGTTGTGGATTTTTCTACAGTTTTGTGGACTTTTTGTGAAGGTTGTTTGCCTGATTTTGCTTAAAACGAAAAACTAAGATAAGGCCAACACAAGGACTGTGGCTCGGAAAGCCTTGCGGCCTAGCCGTTTGGGCTTTCTACCAAGGACATTTCACCAAGGACTTGGGCAGATTTACACCCATGTAATGATACACGTTMTGCTGCATGGACTATTTTGGATTTAATCGCACTCTGATGTGTCATATTGGACTCTGAAGAACTGACGAGGTCCACGGTGCCTCCGAATGGTGCTTTGGCCTCRCATCACGTTCATTTTTGTTTGGCAATGAACGATAAGACTGTCGTCACCTTCAAGCTGAACCTTTGCCTGTTTCAGCATTCATTTTGTCAAGTGTTTCCTCGAATATAAAGAAGGTTTATCAATTAAAGTTGCCGCATTTAGCCTAACTGTGTTCAGTGTTGACGCTGTTTGATTTTCTCATAACAGTCCTGTGTTCTTAAAAAAATCTTCTGTCTGATTGACGTTATTTAGAGCTGTGAAAATGTCGTGTGTTCACTATAAATTTTCCTCCAAACTGGACTACAACACAGTCACTTTCGATGGGCTGCATATCACTCTCAGTGAGCTTAAGAGGCAGATTATGGCCCGGGAGCGCCTCAAGGCTACAGACTGCGACCTGCAGATCACCAATGCACAGACCCGAGAAGGTACATTTTACCTGTTTACATGATACATTATGGTTGTAATGTTATAAAACTTCACTTCATTTAGGTTGTGACAGCAGCTGGTGGGTAAAAAACATGTTTATGTTTTTATTTTTGCAGTAATGTTTATGACATGCTTTTTACTATGAACCTGTTTCAGATTTATTAAAAGATTATTTTCTGTTTGTCTTACCTAAATACACAATGAAAAAAAAAGGAAAAATAAATTTGTAAGGACAAAAGTGTAGAGTATAACCTAAATTAAACAGAAATTAAAAAGAAAACATTACGTCTTTACACACAATATAGCAATTGAAGGAAACTTATATGGTGCAGGATTTTATTTTTTATTTGGAAGCTTGGAAAAAGCAGAAGATGGTGTTGYGTGATATTTGAAACGTGGCTTCTCAAAAAAGTGAACTGATAAATGCTTCACTTAAGTTGGGGAAACAAAAGGGCTGTAGTTTTGTAGATTAGTAAAACAAAATATTTTAAGACTTAAGAGTCAATGTTGAGAAAGTCAGTGGATTTTTAAATTATTATTTTATGTCTGACAACTGATTCTGAGTTCACTCGTGTCATTTAATGCAGGTGAACAGATATTTATGTTTTTACATTTGCCTGTTTGTACTTCAGTAATCCTGCTTTGGCATCCACACAAATGGTGTAATCTACTTGACACTTTAGGATAATCTGGTTTATCATAGTCTACAGTTATGATAAAAAAAATTGTACACATTTTTTTTGTGTTTTTCAGTTGTGTGTTTTGCACTAATTTTCCGTTTGTTTTATAGAATACACAGACGATGAAGCGCATATCCCAAAACACTCATCTGTGATCGTTCGTCGCACTCCGATTGGTGGAGTCAAACCTGCTGGCAGGACGTTCATTGTGTACGTGTCCCTAAAATGTGTTCAAAATATGTGTGTATCATAGCTTAAACATTTTTAATCAGTTTACTTGCTTTTTTAGTTAATTTGTCCTTTACCGGTTCTATGCAGTTGTAAAYTTGATTCTATGTTTTGCCATGAGCTAATTATAATCTTATGGGGACAGAGTTGTTCAGGAAACCTAAATTTAGAACATGTTTGAAAGAACCGTACACCTCAATTCAAGGATTGTGGAATAATCTGGAAAATGATGTTAAAAGTGCCAAATCAAAGTACATGTTCAAGAGAATGATAAAGGTTGGATTGTTGAAAATATATAAAACCGTATAATGTGTAAACAGATAATTTGTTGTTCTAGAAAGATTTGATGTTCATGTTTTGTTAATTAAAGATTACTGTTAATTGAATTGAGGAAAAAAGGGGCAGATGTAATATTTTTATTCTTCTCTCTGCTTCCTTTCATTTCATTGTATTAATATTTTTTATTTTTATTGTATATAATTTTTTTATGAAATGAATAAAGTTAAACAATAAATAATTTTTGCTCTTTTTGTTTTTGCAGTGATCGTTCTGACTCAGCTGTGGTGGGATCTTCTAGACCCGTATGTAAAACAAACAAAAAACAACACGCTCTCCTCCTCCACACCTCTCTTTCTCCCACTCTATCTGGCTTTAGTCACCTTTCTCGAGAACATTCTGTCAACAAAAATCAAGATGTATTTTTTTGTTCAGTTTGTGTTTTCTAGAGTTTTGTTGCTCTCAACTTCTAAATGTTGTTTGATGCCTTTTTTGGGTTGGGTTTTTTGACATCAGCAATTAACATCCTTTGTTACGATCTTTAAAACCCTGGGTTCATAACTGTTTTGAATTTCTTAAATGGAAGTACATAATGGCTGAAAAAGATAAAGAGCAAAGACAAACTAGGCAACATTTTTTTTCATGCATTGACGTAACTAATTGTTAATTTGTTGCCATGTTGCGTTTTTCTGACGGATTTAAACATGACTGTATTTCATGATGAAATGGTTTTGTCGCCTGCTTCAGTTCAGGCAAATGTGTTATTTGTAAAAGGTATTTTTGTATTGATAATTCATTGTCATGTGTTTACTGTGAAATTATTTCATCTGGTTTAAAAACTCAAAGAATTAAAGTGTGGATGAGATTGATTGTAATTAACTCTTAATGCATTTACAAGGTCGTGAGTGGAACAGTTGTACAAGTTTGTTTTTATTTATTTTCTGAATTTAATTTTAGGATTATGCTGCTAAAACAAATGATCCTCAGATGTGTTCTCAGTAACAGCTTATCAATGTCAGTTGTTTTGTCTTGTACAATTTCATCATGAACCTGTTCTGTTCTGCCTTCAATATGGACTGCACAAAAAACTTGAATCTTACCAGTTCATTTGACCCTACTTTAATTCCCAGTGCCTATTTTTACAAGGAGTCCAGGACCAGATGAAAGTGTAATTGTACAAGTGTGKTTTTTTTTTAAGGGTGGGGGAAACCGTAAGAAGCACAATTTTTGACAAGCTTCTGTGATGTGACCTCATCACAATTATTGAATCATAAAATCAGTAAAGGAAAATGCCTTGTAAAGCTCTTGAGGCTTTTAACGGTTACTACAGTGAAAACGTACCCTGGTGTAGTGTGTCCTGTAAGCTGTAAGCTGCAGAACCTTATCAATAAAGTTGTTCAGTGGTTCAGTGTGAGAACCACTTGCACCAGATCCCTGTGTGTTCCCTCCACAGCAAACTGCAATAACCACTGTTTCCTCTGAGCCCCGTGGATTGTGATGGACACGCCATCTGCATAGTTTGCCTGCTTTGCTAATAAATCTTTTTCTAAAGAGTCAGGCAACTTTTTAAATAGCCATTTTGTGCTTGAGAGTACATTAAAATTCCTAATCAGTTTTGCAAACACGTGTAATCGTTTTGAAGTCTAGTATTGCAAGGCTATTTGAAGAGGCAGTTTAAATAATTGCTGACCAGCACTTTTGACCTTATAGCCATTTATTTTTGACACTTTGTTTAAATTGTTAGCAGTGCCTAATGCAAATTTATTAGAATTTTACATTTAAATCCCTAGCTGTTGAATGGAATTGACTGGTCATTAAAATCATGTTAAGTCAACATTGAAAGCTGTAATAGTTTTAATAAGAAATATTATTTTAAGAAATAGGGGTAAACTTGTTAAATAATTCATAAAGGAACAGTAAAATCAGTGTCCTTTATTGTAAAACTGGCAGCAGGTTATTTTATAGACGTCTCACAAAGGTGTCCCTGGAAACAGTTAAGATAAACAAGAGTTCAAGATTTTAAATGCCTCTTTGTTTTTGAGTCAGTCAGCAGAGCACATTATCTAGTTTATGTCTTGGTTTAGGTGCTCGTTCACTTGCCTCTAGAATTCTTGTGCTCCAATCGGTAACAAGGTGCTAATATGTTGCGAAGACATGAGTGGGACTGGACACAGATGTGGTGGAATACTGGGCTCTTCCAGTGTGTTTAGTAGATATGTTAACGTTTTTCATTTATATACTCTGGTTCTCCTGCAGACGGATTCTTCTCCTTCTTTGACTCTTGCCCAGCTTTCCAAGGTAGTCCTCTTACAAATGCTTGACATAAAGAGAATCGTTTCCCTGTGTAAAATTAAAGAAGTGTTGTCTTCCTTTTAATTTTTCCCTTTTTTATTTGTCTTATTCCTCTGTATGTTTTAGACCCCAAACTTGGTGGATGCAAATGCATCTGAGGAGGACAAGATTAAAGCCATGATGACTCAGTCGATCCATGAATACGATCCTATCCAGTTAGTAATCTTTACACGCTTCATTTTCCTTCTATTTATTTAATCAAATTCTTCAGTAAATAAAACTAATGAACCTGTACTACTTTACTAAATTTGACTTTGATGTTTTAGTTATTCCAAAAAGGCGATTGGACCGCCTCCTGCTAACTATCTCTGCTATCGCTGTGAGAAGGCTGGTCACCACATTCGAAATTGTCCCATGGCGGTAATCATTGAGTATTGTCTTGTTGTAATTATCTTCATTTTCTCACTTAAGATAACAACATATTTTTTTTCTTTTGACATTGTCAGTTTCAGGATAAAAATTCCGAGGGTCCTAAACCAGTGAAAACCAGTAAGGGCATACCACAGAGCTTCATGGTGAAAGTGGAGCCAGGAGCCAAGGGAGCCATGTTGACCAACACTGGAGAATATGCCATACCAGCTATAGACGCGTATGTCAGCTGAAAATGTCCACTGTTTTGTATAAATATGTTATTCATGGAAAACGTATTTTCTTTTTGCCTTTTCACATGATAGTTCCTGATGTTTTATTTGTCCCTTTGTTGCGCTCAAAATAATAATGTCAGTTTTTATTTTTAGGGAGGCATATGCTCAAGGGAAGAAAGAGCGCCCTCCGTTTGTTCCTCGTGAACAGTCGTCATCTGACGATGATGCAGACCCAATCCCAGATGAGCTGCTGTGTCCGATCTGCAATGACCTGATGACTGATGCTGTGGTTATACCCTGCTGTGGAAACAGTTACTGTGATGACTGTGAGTGATTAATCAGACAACAAAAAGAAATCTAGTGTATCAGTTTATGTTGATGCCTTAAATATTTCAGAAACATTGATTTATCAGTGGTATTGTGCTGCAGTGATATTCGACTCAGTCTGATCATTGATTATTCTAGATCAGAGTGATTGGGCTGTTGGGAATCTCTTGTTTAACATGCATAATGGTTTTGTCTATTTTCAGGTATCAGGACTTTTTTGTTGGACTCAGAGGAGCACATCTGCTTCACATGCAAACAGTCGGATGTGTCGCCTGATAATCTCATTGCCAACAAGTTTCTTCGACAGGTATTTTCTTCAGATACTTTGATTTTTGTGTGGTTTGGGGTTATTTGAATTGATTAAAAAAATTCTGAACTATGTTTGTCATCATGTAGGCTGTGAACAACTTTAGGAATGAGACGGGTTACACCAAACGTGGACGCAAGCCCGTGCAGCACGCAGCCCCTCCTCCACCTCGCCCACAGTTAGTCAGGCCTCTGCATTCGCGACAGCAGGACCCCCTTCTGGCCAATTTGTCTCACCCTCCATCAACAAGCCTACCTCCAGCAGCCCCTAAAGCAGAAGTCCCACCGCCTGCACTGTCTGCTGCTACAGCTGCTGCCACGCCTCCTACTCCTGTTGCTCCTGCAACGCCTAGTCCTCCTCATGCTGCAGCCATAGAAGAACGACAGGCTTCACCTGCACCAGCACCTGAACCTGAACCTGAACCTGTTGTTGACAGCCATTCTCCTGAACACTCAAAGAGCCAGAGTGAGCCACCTCCTCCAGGGTAAATTTTGTTAATGCTTGACTGGTATATTTCTGTAAAATTTGGATGTAAAAATATAAGGGAGCTTGTGGCAGGCCATTGTAACATTTATTAGATTGACTATCTATTTCAGTAGAGATATCTGGAAGCAAAAGCCCAATACACATGAATGGGGGAAGTGACATCATTTGTACTAGTAAGGATTATATTCTTCCTATCTAAAATGAACATTTTAGATAGGAAGAATGTTGTTTTAGATGTCTGGAATGCGCCTTTTGACCAGTAAGAAAAGAAATGTATTTGAGATATCTCAAATAGATATTCAGTCAAGCTAATAAATGGCAAAATGGCTACTTAGAATTTGTAAAGATTTATAAGTATCTGAAAAAATTCTTAATAGTTCATTTTTTTAAATTCCCAAATTCAGTTTCTGCTAGCAAAAATGTAATTGTGGAAATCTATAATCAGTTCTGACTAGTAGTAATGTAATTTTGACCAGGAAGAATGTACAGTGGTTTGCAAAAGTATTCATACCCCTTGAACTTTTCCATATTTTGTCACATTACAACCACAAACATAAATATATCCATCCATCCATCCATTTTCTGTACACGCTTCTTCCTTTTCAGGGTCACGTGGGTCACTGGTGCCCATATCCAGCAGTCACAGTGCGAGGGGCGGGGTACACCCTGGACAGGCCGCAAGTCCATCACAGGGCCTAAAGTTCAGTCCATTTATCATTAAAGACAGCTGTTTTAAAGTGTCACCTGTATGAAAGACTCCTGTCCACAGACTCCCTCAGTCAGACTCTAACCTCTCCAACATGGGCAGGACCAAAGAGCTGTCCAAGGATGTCAGGGACCAGACCAAAGACCTGCACAAGGCTGGAA